AGAAATTGAAATCATTCAATTTGGTTTTAACTTGTTCTTCCACAAAATTGTGCACATCTTCATCTGAGTTTGTTGAGCTGTTGTTGAGCGTGGAAGTTCGTTATAAACGGAAAGTGAATATACAACGAACCCAAAAAGTGATATCCAGAAAATGGTTATAAACGGGATCGTTATAACCAGTAAAAAAATACCTTGGGATTTATGGAAGACGTTTCAATTAAAGAGAAAAATTCGTTTTAACCAAAAGTTTACTATAACCGGGTTTATTATAAGCGGACTTTAGTGTATTTAAAAGTTTATGTAAAAAATGACAGTTGCAGCCGCTGAAAGAATTATTCGGTTTTCCAATAAGCAAATATGTTCTACTTAATTCGAGTCGTATTTCTAGTTGAAAAAGACTTACTTTAATAGAATTTAGTAAGATTAAGAAATAAGTTTCAAAATGGCGTTGAGAAAACGACCAAAAATCATTTTTTTCAAATAGAAACCCCTATTTTTGATATTTTGTTCTTATTCAGTATTAAAAATAAGGGTAAGTTTGTGTAAAGTTGTCTATTCTAAAAGGGTTTAGTTGTCGAAATATTGTCAATGTAATGTTTTCACATGGCTTTTTGCCCCATCCTATTTTAAATCCTGTTACTCTTAGTTGACATGACGAAAGAGGCAATTTTTTAAACAAACAAATGTCAAAGAACGCTTAGTCAGTTACCTACAGGCCCGGACGCTGAAATTATACAAACAAAGATTATTTAAACTTATTTAGTATCACACAAAAATAGTGTTAACCAAATTTTCACATTTATTTAGTATCGTATTATGGAGAATGTGGCACAGTTATATCAAGAAGTTTTTATTTATTATTAATTATTATTATATCAATAACACAAGTTTTTTCCTTTAAATCTAGGGATGTCTAATTTTTCTGGTTGCTCTGATAAATTCAATATGAACTGTTATTTAGACGTATTAAAAATTTGTTTAACAGCACAGCGTGAAGGTTTCTGGTTTTGTGGATATTGAATGGCAAATGTGTCACCTGTTTCTGATATAACTTTATCACATTCTCCCTAAATAATTAACAACTTTAAATAATCTTCGTTTGCATGATTTAAGCTTCCGGGCATAATTATTAATTATTTTCAAAGGGTAACTGAGCGTTCCTTTGGCATTTGGTTGTATTAAAAATGGTCACTTTCGTCATGGCAACTAAGAGTGACAGTATTTAAAATAAGATGCGACAAAATAGCCATATGAAAACATTAAATTGACAATATTTCGAAAACTAAGCCCTTATGAAATAGACAACTTAACATAAACTTACCCTTATTTTTAATCCTGAATAACAATAAAATTTTCAAAAATTAGGATTTCGATTTGAAAAAATGGATTTTGGGCGGATTTCTCAACGCCATTAATAGTTATCAAAATTTTGTCCAAATTGCATTAACGTAAATGCTTGTCAACAAGAAATGCGACTTAAATTAAGTAGACCATATCCCCTTATAGGAAAACCGAATAATTATTCGAGTGGCTGTCATTTTTAACATAAAATTTAAATTAATTAAAATTAAATGATAAACAATAAAATTGACTGGAACCCAGGAATTTATTTTGAATTAAGTTGAAATACAGTCAGGAAAATTTACACACTGTATATAATGTTGTTAAAAAATTAAAACCTCATGATATAATTGAAAATACAAAAAATGTAATTTATAAAATTCCTTGCGAATGCAATAAATTTTATATAGGAGAAACCTCAAGACC